GGCTTAATATGATAAAACACAGTGCAGTACAGTATAGTACACATAACATGACATAACGTAACATGACATAACACAACATTATCTGATGTAACAAAGCATAACACAACATAACATGAAATATCGCAACATAACATCATATAATGTATTACACTAAATAAAGTGTCACCCTACCACGAACCTAACATAACATAACAACATGTGATGGTGTTGCAACAAAACACAATTTTAACATAAATCAGCAAAGTATAACATGATAAAAAGCAACAAAAATACCATGTAACATACTTTAACACGATTCTATTCTGTGAGACAACAATGCAATAATTGTTCTCTTTCAAAGCCTGTTTCTGCGTTGGACCTTTTTTTGTGCTGCCATCAAGCAACCTTGTCTCGGCCTTGAAAGGTTGATGAATTTGCTTGACGAATTTGCAAATGTTGTGCCTCTCGTTGCCGATAGTCTTTGCCACAGTTTCCGGTGAAAGAACTGCCATCAGCTTTTCGCTGTGAAAGCCTTGCACTAAATCCTTGTCGCCTTTCGCAGATCTTAACAATGTAAACACAATCTCAAGCTTCTCAAAAGAAGCAGTTTATGTAGCTCTTTTGTTTTCTTTGCTTTTTGCTCCTGGCTCAGCTTTATGTTTCCAGCTTTTGCTTTGTGTGGAATGCAGAAGCGATACTGTGGGTGGAAGAAGCAACCCAATGACAAAGTCAGCCGCTTTCCAGACCTTCAATTTGTGTCCAGCAAAAACGCTTTTGTGAAGCGTCTGTTAAGAGGACGCCAGAAGAATGCAGGAAGAGATTTGCAATCGAGGCAGCTGCAGAGATTTGCATTTTCAAAAAGGCGAGAAGACGCAGCCCACAGCTTTAAGGGCAGACCCCGCTGAAACACCCAAGAAACCAAATTTAAAGAATCAAACCCAGAACAGACCAGACACTAAAAATTCAGAGACACACAAAGGCTCTGATGTTGAACCTGGAGATCGAATTTTTTAAAATTGAACTCTGGACACAGGCTCGAACACTGGTGTTCGAACTTGGAGTTCGAACACCAGTATTCGAACTGGGGTTCTCCAATGCGCTTCGCAGCAGAACGCTGCGAGGACGCTTCGAGGGCACTGCGAGAACATGTGCAAATTTCTCAAGGATGCCAGCTTTTTCGAAGAAAATCAATGTAGGTGAGAGGCCGTTACTAAAGTTCAAACCTGGGTTCAAACCTGGGTTTGAACCTGGTTTTAAACGTGATCTGGGTTAGAACTGGTTTCAAGGTTGGGTCTAAGAACATGGATTTCAATCTTGGGTTCAAACCTGGGTTTTTCCTGATTTAAACCTGGGTTTTCAAACCCCTTTAGTCTGCCCCCTTGCGTGCAAGGGCTGTCTAAATTCTCCACCACGTCACAATACAGTCAAGAGGACCGTGATTCGAAATTCTGTGTGGGCTCTAAACTGCAACGTAATGGAGTTTGGAGGCCTGTGGACTCGCTCGCAAAAAGGCACTCTGTTCGACTTTCTTCTTCTAGATTTTTGGCTCCGTTAAGGGTCAAAACGTACGTTGCAGTTTGGAGCCGATAAGGCCCACGAGGCCCATGCACGCAGAATTTAGAATCACGATCCTCTCAACTGTGTTGTGATGTGGGTTGGAGACTCAATTCTGGGAGAGATGCGCTTTCCGCGCCGCATTCTTTCGCTTCCAATTTCCGTGTTCTCTTGTTGTCGCGTTTCGTGTTCGTGTTCGGGTGAACAGCCTCTCGTAGGAAACGGCCTCCTGAGAGATACGGCCTCTGGTAGGAAACTGCCTCTGACCAGAAAACTCTTGCAGGAGGATAAGGTCCCCCCCACTTTTGCAAGGTGACGTCTGGTCAGAAACAAGCCAATGCCGGGAACAGCCATTGCACAGAAACGACCTCTAGCAGGAAACGGCCTGGCGCAGGAAAGGGCTGCTCGAGCACTTCGAAGACTACACTGGGTTTCTACCCACATAAATCGTCTTTGCAGGTCTCACGATCAACACACACAGCCTTGCAGAGACTGAGCAAATTGTGAATTGCACTTCACATGAGGAAAAGTGAAGGGACACAGCACCCACAGAAAGCGGGCACCCACCGCAACTTTTCCTCGCTGCGTTTGTTCGGCAGCCGTTGAGCCATGGACTGCAGCTTTCTAAACATTAGAACTGGCTCCCGGTAGGCTGTGGCTTGCGGAAAGGTTTCGACAACATGTGAAATGGTTTCGAAACATGCTCAAACCACACCAAAACAAATGTGCGTACTTCTCACGCCAAAACAAAGCTGCCCTTTCCAAGAAGCAAGCGCTCTACACAAGAAATGTGTGGAAAAATCTCATCCACCTGCGTGCCAAAGCAATTCTGCATTGCAGGTGCCCAACGATGCTCCTCTTTCCAACGAATCTGGCTTCAAAGCTAACACCGCCGCAAACTGCAAACACCATGGGTTCGGTGTGGTCCATGTCTTCCAACCCGTGGCACGAACTTGAAGACTTGAAGCCGGAGACTGATCTTGTCGCTGCTGCGTAGGACTCCAATCGACTCCAATCACTCCAGTCGATGCACGCGTGTTGCGCGACAGCATCAAGAGTGGTGCACAAAAGCATGACAAGACAATACATACAGTCACTTAAGCTTCACGTGCGCAGGCACGACAAAGATCAAAATCACAGAGATCACACCTGTACGTCGTGTGCCCTGTCAAATCTTTACTTGTACCACACACGTCGCAGTTTGCTTCAAACCACGCCTGTTTGCGCTTGCTTAGGATCACATTCTGCGTCGGCTCGCGCAACTGCATACCGTGTCCTTGGCTGCAAAATAAGCCCCGAGGGCCAACATGGAAATTGCCCTGCTGCCCGTAACCATGGGTAGCGCAATGGCCTGCAGATCAGTGCCCCGTAAAAACCAGGTCGCGCATTGGCCCTGCTGTCCGTAAACATGAAAGCGCAATGGCGTGCCCAAAGGCACCGATAAGAGAACATGATGTAGTCCGCCCAAATCGTTACCACCGGCATTGCTCCCCGTAAAGTCTGGGTCGCGCAGTGGCCAAAATGAAAATCAGCAGTGCCGCCCGTAGGCAAGCTGCAGCGCACATCCGAACTCTACGAAGCCAAGATGTTCGACAGATAAAGTGCTCCATTCCACAATGGAGCGCAGGACGCACAGGGCAGCCTCCAATTGACAAGGCACACGGCCGCAAGGTCGAATGACCAGGGCACGACACAAACCACACAAACAAGGTCGCTGGACAAAGAGGGCCGCCTTGACATCATACGCAGGAGCCCACCCCAAGCAATTCCCGAGCCCAGCTTCCCACAGTGGGTCTCGCAAGGGCAGACGCATGGGGGCTCGCAATATGGTGTTTGCTCTGGCGCCCGGGTCATCCGCACCTACCCAAACCCCTACCCCAAAAAGCTATGAGGTTCGGGCAAATATGGCCATATTTGGGGTAAACACAATTTCCGGCACGAGGTTCTGGGTTTGGAGGCCAAAAACAACAATATGAGTTCATCTCATAATTGCAAATGTTCCAAAACTCTCTATTTCCGGGCTTTTGTGAACATATCAACAGAAGCAGCGGCGGGCCGGTCAATAGGAGGCGATCACTTTCACTTGAGACTCGAATGATAGTTATAGCCCAGAACCTCATTTTCACTGGCAGTGCATGTGTCTTTCGGTGCAGATGTACCAAATTGATGGAACTTGGGTCGTGTTTATTTCTGAAATAGAAACGATGCATTACCGCCACAAGAATGGCCCGGGCTCCGAAAGTGGCAACAGACATCATAGTGATATTCTTACGAAATAGTGCCAACAGCGGCACCTACACGATAATTCGAATGGACACGGTGGTATGTTCAGCTTACAGCCACTTTTATGTGATGTTGCCCACAAAGCCATGAAACTAATGCTTCAAGTATTCGCGAACAGTTTGTTTTGCAGCTCGCACACAAATGTCGTGTCAGAACTGTGTCCCTACCCGGTGCAAACACAAAACTCGTTCCTCTACTTTAGGGTTTGGGGTTTTAGGGTTAAGGTTTGAGGGTTGAGGGTTTTGGGGTTTAGGGTTTAAGGTAGGGTTTAGTTTTAAGGTTAAGTGTTTAGGGTTTTTAGGTGGCCCCCCTCAGTCACACGGCACTCGGACGCCCTTTTGTTTTCCTTCGCCTGCCCTGACGAGTCTAAACTAGGACTACGGCACACAAACCTACTGGTTGCCCTGTGCCTCCCGTCAAAACTTTGGCACTGCAAACTCTTCTGGTTTGCAATGCCCTCCACACCTTGTCAGGGTGAGAGCTGGCGATTTTTTTTGGCGACGGCTGAGACGGCGACGAGCCGCCAAACAAGGTTTGGATTCCTCGCTTGGTTACATAGGTGAACTGTTCATTCTCGCCAAACCACCGTTCGCCCTGGCTTCTGGACGACTCCAGTTGATGGATCTTTTGGCTCAAGACGGCGATGGAGTCCTGCTGCGATTTCGTCGTGAGCTTGAGCTTGACATTCTCCTCTTTAACTGCCCCGAGCTCTTGCTCGAGACAGAATAACTCAAGCTCTTTGTCTCCCGCCTGAAACTTTCTGCTCCTCTTCAGCAAATCACCTCGCGAAGCAAGCGGAAGAACTTCCTCACGAGTCTCGCCAAGGGCTTCCTCCCCATCGGAGACATCAATCTGCGATGGGAAGATCGGGGATTCCGATGGTTGCTCGGATGCCATGCTGCACAACATGCTATTGTGGATCCCCGTTGTGCTCTCCTCGGTATCTGAGCCACATTTTGCATCCATGGACCCTCGTGCCGCAACAAACTATATAGCCGAGCTACGAACACATCCATACATGCACACACAAGCAATCACTTTCTCGCGGTCGGGTCACCCCTCAAGTCAGGCTAGCATCATGGAGGAAAACACGGGCCCAGGTCAAAATGCACTCTTATTCCCTTGTATCTCTCTGATGGACATCATGTGCGACGACTGGACCCTGGTAAGCTAGCAGCTAGCGCCTAGCACTCACTCTCAAAAATGCCCCTGCTGTGCACTGTGCATCCAGCGTCAGTGGGACTGCTGCGGCGATGCTCACGATCCAGCATCGCCGCCTCTGCTGTGCACTGTGCATCCAGCATCGGTGGGACTGCTGTGGCGATGCTCCGGTCATCCAGCATCGGTGCCACTGCTGAGGCGATGCTCGGGTCATCCAGCATCGATGCCCCGGCCTTTGTTTTGCTGGCCTATGCCGCAGCTTTGTTCCCTCGGAGCCATGCCAGCATCTTGAAGTAAGAATCGCCATCCTGGATACTGCCCTCCGACTGCATCTTCTCCAAGAAAGCTTTCATTGGCCCAGCCAGCGACTCGCGAGCCACCAGCATCCTGAGGCTGTGCACAGTCTCCCCCGAGGAAACCTCGAACCAGCACGTGTCTGGCGGAATGAGGATGCTGCCTTGAGCCTGCATCTGAACCATCCAGCCCTTGGTCTTCACAAGATGGGCCAAATCCTTGGCATTCATCTTCTCGAGCTTCTTGGGCACGTCTGCCAAGGTCGCGGCCTGCAGCTCCTTCGATGGCACCCCGCCCACTGTGAGCTTGCCCTCCAGGCAAACCATGAGCATCGGGCAGTTCATGTCTGTCCGGGTCCACAACGAGGCTGTGCCCCCCAAACGCTGGCCGAACTGCAAGCTGAAGGTGTCCTGCATCTCAGGCGGGAATCCTGTCATCGCATCCCCCTCGGAGTCGCCAGTTTCAGGGTACTGCCGGTTCAGCTGGTCCTTCAGCCTTTTGGCGACTGCTTTCTCACCGCGCAGCAGGAGTTCGACCCACTCGCCTTCATCTTCTCAAGCACCCACGACTGCTGAAGTCGGTAGTAGTCGAGGCTGGCCACTGTCTCGCAGAGGCTCTTCCCCCGAGCAAGACCGGGGCCAGCTTCTCCAGCAGCTGCTTGGGGTTCAAGCTGTAGTCCACGGTGCCAAAGGAGCTTTCACCCGTCAGCTCCTTCACCAATTTCTCGGCCAAGGCTTCCAGGGGCATGCTTGCTGCAAGCTTGCCCATCTTCTTTCCAGCGGCTGTTTTGGCCGCTGCTTTCTCTCGCTCGTTGATCGATTTCTTCGTCTTCGCGATCCAAATTCGCACGTCTTGGATCTTGTTCTTCACATCCTTGCATGCCTCGTTGTTGGAGTGGAACCCCTTGAGGACCACTGCGATCTCCCCTCGGAGCTGGGCCATCTCATCCGCCGTGGTTGTGCCCTCCACTTCCTTCTTCTCCCACTCAGAGTCATACTTGGCGATCTCCTCACTCAGAACCTCAATAGCCCGGTCGACGTGGCTCATCTTCTCTTTCATTTCGTCCTTCAGGTCCTGGTTCTCAAACTCACAAAGCTTCTGGCTCTCAGCAGAGAGTGCTGTGATTGTCGCCTGGTTCCGGAGGACAACATCTCCCATCGTTTGGATGGCCTTCTTCCGGGAGGCCTGCAGGGCCAACTTCTCCAGAGGCAGGCTCTTCTCGACGGCCTCGGCCTTCCGCTTTCTCTCCTCCTTTTCCTGCCTCTGGACCTCCTCTATGGCAATTGCCTGTATTTGCAGATCCGCATCTCGGGCCTCCTCCATTTCCCGCAGCTGGCTCAAATCCTTTGAAACCGTCAGCAGTGGGATGACGGACATGGGCTCGTCGCTCCGAGTTCGCGGTCATCTCCACAGCCAGCCTCGACCGGCCCCTTTTGATGCGGGAGTCGGACTCCTCCATGTACTCATCCAAATCCTTCTGCTCGGAGATGTCCATCCTCTGCCGCAGGGCTGACTTGAGGCTGTGGGCCTGTCGTCCACGGACTTGGATGCCCGAATAATCCAACACGAGCGCCTCACCGTGTTCCATTATGCTCACTGTGCTCGGATCCTGAAGCAACTTCTCCCAGGCAACCTTCGCCTCCCCGAGGCTCGAATAGATTCTGAGAGCCATCTCCTGAGCCGCCCACTTCTTGAAGGTTATGTAATTCGTGACATCATCTCTCAGCGCCGCGGCCTCCCTGGACTCCTCGACGGAGCCCACCGCCGAGGAGAACGTCCTTTTCTTCTTCTGGTCTTCCGCTTGGCGGTTGACCTTCTGTTCGACGTAGAAGGCTTTCTTCTCTTCCGGCGTTTTCTTCTTCAGATCCTCCTTGATCCTCAGACCGTTCGCCCTCCTTTGCGTTTCGTCCTCAGTTTCTTCGCGGTTCTTGGGCTTCGTTGTGATCCTGGTGATCCAGCGATCGGTTGCCAAGCAGCCATTGCAGGCTCTCAGCAGTGGGTTTCGACCTGTCGCCGATGAAAGCGACATGGTCGTCGACTGGCCACACTTTTGGCAGCTCAGTGCCCCCAGTGCAGTCTCTCCGCTCGCCGCAGGTTCCTCAGCCGATCCCGCAGCTGCCATGCTCAGTACAGAACAGCAGTCTCTTGTACACTGTACACCCACCAGTTAACACCCGGGGCAGAGCGGCCCAACACGGCTGCGGGATAAGCTCAGAGGTTCTTTCATCCATGGTTTCAACATCAACACCGAAGGCTCCTACAGCGAACTCTCGCTCTGCTAAGCTGAAACCCTACCCCTAGCATGAATATATGGGTGTGCTATGGGAATCACACATTAATGGATTGGCTTGCTCTGTCGTGCCTCGGTCTGCTCCAACGAAACCTATTTGTTTTTCGCCGTTCAGTTTCTGTCTAGTTCACATCCAGCAGCACGGTTGCACGTAATTTGCAGCAACCTGCTTGGTTGCTAATTTTCGAATTAATCTGTTAGCCAACCTAGCAGTCGCCTCTCTTTCTCCGGACCCGCCTCTGTGGTGAAGCCAAATTCACCACAGAGTCCCGCTTGGACCTTTCCATTTTGAGTCTGCCGGAAGCCCAAGTCTCCACCTTTATGGGCAGTGGCATCGTTGGCTCCGGGTGAACTTCGGCAAAAGCCCAAGTCTTGCACCCAGGCTCAACCTTCACCTTTATGGGCAGTGGCATCGTTGGCTCCGGGTGAACTGCGGCCGCCTTTTGGGCCTGCTCTTCCGCCCATTGTTCATCCGGCCAAGAGCCCTCGTCCATTTCATCGCCTTCTGACAGCTGAGCTGCCAGAGCTGCCTCTGGGGGAGGGGTTAGCTGCCACAACTCTTCCTGAGTAATGGTCTGCGGCTCGGACTTCAACTTGCCCTGCAGGAAAGCAATCTCCAGCAAAGGGCACAGCATGATGCCCAAATGCAACGGGTGGTAAGCATTACCGATTGCTTTCTCTGCTTGGGTCTGGCTGCTGAAGAGCCACGGGGTTCGGGGTTCGTGCCCCTGGAGCATAGCTTTTTCCTCTTGTAGCATGTACCTATGCAAGCTGTGCTCTTGCCAAGGGCGCTTTTCCTTGACATCTTGTGTCCGAAGCAGCCACAGCTTCGGCCCTTTTGTTCGCAGAGGCGGGGTGCTGTCGTAGACTATACCGCCGCCGAAATCCTTCAAAGGATTGCGGTCCAGCTCGATCACGGCTATCTTGCCTGCTTTCCCATTTTTTATGTCTCCCTGCACACGAGCCACATAGGCCGCCAAGTTGCACTGCATGTTCTGAGAGAGTGACCGTGGGTACTTGGAGACAACGAGCGTGCGGTAGCGAGCAAAATCTGAAAGCATATGCCGGAAAATGTCCAATGGCCGTCTCAAATGCTTTGGTGGCGCGATCAAGAGAGCTTGCTCTCTGAGCGCCTGTCCCTCCACACGAGACCTAACAGACAGTTCTCTGTTCAACTCACGCCAAAGGTCGTACCCTGCAGCGGCACCGCCCTGACTCAACTCGACAAGCTTGGCTATGTCAGCTCCTCGCTGAAAACCAGCGAGAGCCTGCTTCAAGAGGTACCACAGCTTAGTGGAACGAGCGGCCTTGCCCTTTGAGAGGCTAAGCTGAAGGACTTGAACACCACTCTCCACAGCTTCCTGCAGTTCCTCCGCGTAGCGGTCGTCTAAGAGACACAACCAAGAGGTCAGCTCTTCGCGGTAGGCGGTCCACGTGGAGATTTCCTCGTGGCGCGATCTCATCTTGTCTGCGGCCAACTTTGGCAGGGACGGAATGTAATTCTCCGCCCTGTTGCTGCGCAGACCTGTGTCCACATCCATCTTCACAACACCCTCAGAGTCAACTCTGAAAGCACCCAGGTTTCCAAGAGCTGCAGCAGGCGTCTCTTGGGACGAGCTTGCAGCGGCAGGCGCTGCACTTGCGGCCGAACTTGCAGCGTTCGCACTCGCAACGGCAAGTGTCTTCACCATCTCGGTGAGCTGCGAAATCTGGCCCTGCTGAGCTCGGATCTGTTCATCCTGGGCTTGCAACATCTGCCTGAAAAGGTTGACAGTGTTGTCTTCCGGAGTAGGCACAGGTGCCTGCGGTACACTCCCTCCTCCGTGAGGGAAAGTCTGTTGCGCTGCAAACTGAGGCTGCTGCTGAAAACCCTGCTGCAAGGGAACCTGCTGGAAAGGCACCTGCTGAAAAGGCACCTGAGGCACTTGACCTCCATTCGCAAGAGGTCTGGGTCTACTCACAGGCCGGTACGCTGTCGGACTGTTCCGACCTTCCACGAGTCCGCGAGCCCGGTGCACTCGACTCACGAGGAGTTGAGGGAAAGCCAGAGGAAACTCCACTGGCACGGCTTGCACTTCTACCTGCACTCCGTCCCCTAGGGGAACGGTCGCGGCTAGGCTCGGCTCGTGGGTCCATGGCTCTGAGGAGCAACCTTGAGCTCCGCTACCACGTTAAAACCCAAACGCGTCTTGACGCACACTTAAAGGGTTAGTACAAAGAAGTAGAGGCAAGTCCTAAGGACTTCTGCGGCTTCTCTGCACTGGCTCTGTCACTTACACCCTATGGTGTTCCCAAAAAACAGTGAAAGACATCCGAAACAAGCTGATGAACAACATGCTTCAGGATAAACTTCTGGAATCACCGCTTTGCACAAAACTCGTGAGGAAACTCCGGTTGGACACGCTTCTCAAGGTAAACAACTTTCACGTGGAGGTGAAACGGGAAGCGCAAGCACAGCGACCGACAGACAACTTTTCCCTACCGCTCACTACTACACCTAAGGTCTCCTAGGGGTTTCCTAAAGTTCAAAAAAGGAGAAACAGAAAACGTTCCTGACCTTGGCGAGACTCGGAGGCACCACGTCAAGGATTGAAAATCAACTATGCACATTCAGGTACATTTTTCTGCCCCTCAGCTTGGTCTTAGAACCAGAGGCAGAAGGTCGGCTGACTCTGCTGAAGAAGTTCCGGAAGAACGTGCTAAACCAGAGCGTGGAGTCGCTGGAGCCATGGCCAGGTGGACAGCAAGGCCGTGCGCCTGAGTTTTCCAGAAGTCAGCACCTCCACCCAAATGGCCACCAGCCATTGGGTTTTCCATATTTTTGTCATCAAGTGATGCAAGAACGTCCAGTCGCGCGTGACGTTTTTCAGTTGCAAGGAGCCTTGCTTCTCCACACATGGGCAACCTCCGCTTATGCATCTGCCTCCGCTCTGTTGGTTTTTTTGCGGCATGCCGGTTGACAAGCGCACAAGACCCAGCTTCCCAAAAGAGCTCATTTACCTCACTAAGTGGTTGGCAGCTGAGAAAACCATCCTGATGCAAGCGATTGCCTTAGACAAGGCAAAGGCAGATGCCCTGAGAGAGCGAACCAAAGCTGCTGCTGAGAAAGAACAAGGCCTATACTGAGACAAACAAACACCTTGAGAACAAGAACACTAAGACTGCTGCTGAGGCTTACAAGAAGGCCCTAAAGATGTTCACCTACAATGATCTCAGCAAGAAGTCCTACCAGTTCATCCTCTCCCTCAGGAATTCTCTTTGCATCTGCAGCCGATGTCGGTGGCAGACTTGCCTGAGCTGCGATTCCAACAAGGCCCTGAGGTACTAAGAATTTCCAACAGACAGCTTGCCTGTGGAAGTGACAGACATGAGAGAACAGAGGGGGGCCACTCAAGCGAAGCCAAAATTGCTGAGCTTGTTCGACCCCACATTTGGAGCCGCGTGTGCTGCAGTTGGTCCGCACCGAAAGTGGACGTCGGCGGCACTGGTGGCCGAACACGTTCCAGGCACAGCAGCAAGAACACTTCCACCTTTGAGCTGCAGGCGGACTCATGGGACAAACAGGATCTGGTCCAAACAGGTCAATGTCGATGCTTTCTCAGGCACAGGTATCTTCTGGGAGAACTCTCAACTCCAACCTTGCACAGGCGAGGCCGTGGCGCTTCACAGCTCTCAGAAGTCCACTGACAAGAAAAACAGAGTGCGCAGCACTCGATCTTTTTCTTGAGCTAAAAACATTCGTAGCAAAAAAAGAGACGAGACAAAACGAGTGCGGTCACTAACCTGATTCAAAAGCAGTTCTTCCATTTGAGGCAGACCGAAAAACCTGTGTTGCGGAGGCGGCAGCGGCACGGATCTGTGTTGCGCAGAGATGTGGATTTGCTGAGCAACAAAGTCGGTTGGAGCGCCTGCTGCGAGCGATCTTTTTTTTGTCGGTTTGTGACAGCGGATGCAACCATCCTGCGCAAAGACACACGCAACCATGAAGCAAAAAAAGACTCGATTTGACGATGGAACTGACTCAGAGAGCAAAAAGAAATTGAAGCAGAGGTGCAATCTCCGAGAACAGCGAAAAGTGCAGTTCGGTCTTTTGAGGGAACGCAACCACTGGTCTAGCAACAGCAAATGCAATCAGAAGCAAGACAGAGGCAAAGAATGTTGCAAATGGATCTCTGCTAAAAGAGCAAAAAAAATCTGGCGAGAGCCAGATGAGCCCATGTCGTGCATGAGGGGTTTTGGAGTTAAGCACCGTGCACAAATTCCGAACCGTCAGCCACACCTCTCGATACCATAACTCTACACAGCTCAAGAAGTCCTGTTCAGATCTGGTGGAGATACCTTCCAGAAAATTCCGCCGCTCTTGTATGATCTGTTCCGGCCCACCTTCTCGATACCATAACTCTGCATGGCTTGATCTGCTCTGTTCAGAAATGCTAGAGTCACCTCTGGCAAAAATTCCCTGTCTTTGTACGATCTCAAAGCTGCACAGTTATGGGGCTGTCGGGCGACCCCATTTTAAGGCCCGCAAAACACAAGCAATTCTGGCTTCGCGAGGTCGGCCCTCCACAGTTGCATTCCGCTGGCTGCAGCACTATTAAGGGCGAGCAACACAGCTGCTTTGGACAAGTTCCGACCTTCCAAACGGTCCTCCACCAGACGCTCCCCAAAGTCAATACAAGCAATGACATGCGCAGCTGACGAGATTCAGCCGCTGTGGGTGCAGGAATCAAACTTGCGACCCCAAAAATGGGGCCGTCTCGCGGCCCCAGAAAAGGAGCCGCGAAATCCAGTCAACCTCCTTCAACATATTTTGACTGGCAACCAGAGGACCCCAAAATCGGGGCCGCTTGGCGGCCCCTATTTTGGGGTCGCGAATTCCTCATTTTGGGGCCCAAGCCCAAGCCCGTGCGTTCCACACTGCTACATCAAGGCGACTCGCCCACAGGCAGGCATCCAGTGTGGAAAAATCGTTCTCCAACAAGAATTTCCAACAGACAGCTTGCCTGTGGAAGTGATAGACATGAGAGAACAGAGGGGGGCCACTCAAGCGAAGCCAAAATTGCTAAGCTTGTTCGACCCCACATTTGGAGCCGCGTGTGCTGCAGTTGGTCCGCACCGAAAGTGGACGTCGGCGGCACTGGTGGCCGAACACGTTCCAGACACAGCAGCCAGAACACTTCCACCTTTGAGCTGCAGGCGGACTCATGGGACAAACAGGATCTGGTCCAAACAGGTCAATGTCGATGCTTTCTCAGGCACAGGTACCTTCTGGGAGAACTCTCAACTCCAACCTTGCACAGGCGAGGCCGTGGCGCTTCACAGCTCTCAGAAGTCCACTAACAAGAAAAACAGAGTGCGCAGCACTCGATCTTTTTCTTGAGCTAAAAACATTCGAAGCAAAACGAAACGAGACAAAACGAGTGCGGTCACTAACCTGATTCAAAAGCAGTTCTTCCATTTGAGGCAGACCGAAAAACCTGTGTTGCGGGAGCGGCAGCGGCACGGGTCTGTGTTGCGCAGAGATGTGGATTTGCTGAGCAACAAAGTCGGTTGGAGCGCCTGCTGCGAGCGATCTTTTTTTTGTCGGTTTGTGACAGCGGATGCAACCATCCTGCGCAAAGACACACGCAACCATGAAGCAAAAAAGACCCGATTTGACGATGGAACTGACTCAGAGAGCAAAAAGAAATTGAAGCAGAGGTGCAATCTCCGAGAACAGCGAAAAGTGCAGTTCGGTCTTTTGAGGGAACGCAACCACTGGTCTAGCAACAGCAAATGCAATCAGAAGCAAGGCAGAGGCAAAGAATGTTGCAAATGGGTCTCTGCTAAAAGAGCAAAAAAAATCTGGCGAGAGCCAGGTGAGCCCATGTCGTGCATGAGGGGTTTTGGAGTTAAGCACCGTGCACAAATTCCGAACCGTCAGCCACACCTCTCGATACCATAACTCTACACAGCTCAAGAAGTCCTGTTCAGATCTGGTGGAGATACCTTC